ATAACCTGTTCGTCTTCGCCTTTATCATGCTGTGGGTGCGCAACCACTTCTGGCCCGCCGAGATCATCCTCATCGTCCACGTCTTCAGCCAGTCGTCCGCTTACTGGACGCATTTGGGATCCCCGCCCTTTGTCCATCTCCCGGCCATTGCGGGTCCCTATGCCTGGGCGCTGACGGCTCTGTTCTGGAACGGCGCGGTTGCGGCCCATGCCCACAACCTTCCCTCGCGGATTGTTGCCAATATCCTCATCTGGGTGATCTTTGTTCTTGGGCAAATCCACATCTTTGCTGCCAAGGACTATATCTTTGGCTATGCCTTGAGTTTCCTGACCCTCTGTAAGTAGTCCTTGATATATGCCAGCGTCCAAGCGCCTGAGCTGACTGACAACTCGTCAAGCCCTCGCGGTGGAGCAATTCCACATCAAGATCATTGCCCTGCAGTGGATCTTCGCTCTTGCCATCTTCGCCGTCTTCTTCGTGGGCTCGCTCTACGTGTCGACGGTGGTCTACTCGAACCGTGATATCTTCTTCAAGCGCATCGTGGCCCCAGAATCGACTGATCGTGAGCGGGAGCCTCTGCTCAACAACCAGTAAACGGTTCTACCGGTGTTACGAAGAGGCTGAAAGGAATCCTAGCTGTGAAACTTAAAAAAAAAAAGTTGAACAAGCCTGCTTCTTCGGAACGTTTCTTTTAAAAACGCTTCCATCGGAGGTCAAGTCTTAAAAGCATCGTCGTGAGGATTAATCATTCCTGTCAAGTTTATAAAATCGTTCACTGTTACTGATATGTTACTGCCTCGGATTATCGCATTTCTCTATCGTGTCTGTGCACGCTATTTTATCTCCCGATACGCTCAGGTCTACGTCATGTCTCTTATCAAAAGTCCCCACTCTACCTGGCGGTTATATGTACTGTTTTCAACGAGAATGGGAAAAAGAAAAATAACAAAGGAACATAGGACAGCATTCAAATATTGTTAATAATCAAATTTGAACAGACATAAAGGATCAATAGTCGATGTTGTTGTGTCTCAGATTACTCCGCGATAATTCGTCCGAGCAATTAGTCTAAACAAGCAAGGGACCGCAGCCCGTGGTTTCAGTCCTGCCCAGGATCATTGGCCACCCTTGACTAGGCGTTACGTAGGCGTTCATAATTAATTAAATCGATCGATGATCAACGACGGATTGACTGCAATGCTGCAGGGCTCTTGGTTGGGTGGTCTACCTCTGCCGTTGCTGGGGGAACGGCATTTCTTCCCACGCCGCCGGACCAAGTCAACATGCGATCGGCTCAACCATAGTAAATGCAGGACAAGTGAAATCGTACCTGCACGAACTTGCTCGTCGATTTTATTTCTTCTGCTTCCTTCCAAAGTTCGCTTATTTGTCGCAGTTTGTTGTCTGGTATTGAGATACAAGAAGAAAGCGGTCCTTATCAACTATCCATTTTGATTCCGGGCGACAGCGCTCCCGTTGCTTTCGATTATCATTGATTGTTTACAGTAATACCAAATACGGCAAAAGATCGATATCGCTTCGTCAGACAAAAAACCAAGAAAGCGCAACAGAGTGTGTTCCTTCAATGACCTGTTAAAGCGACAGAAAAACGGCGACGTCTTTGAGACCACCGCGATGGATCCATCGACGCCTTCCCGCGGGCTCAATGCCAGCTATGAAGATGATCCGCCTGCGTACCCGTACGGACCAGACGACATAGGCAGTGAAGCGTCCTTCTCCTCCAGCCGTCTGGACAATGGCTCCACGATGAGGCTGTTGCCCAACGGCCACGATGAGGACGGTGAGGATGCCGGCGATCTGGGAAGCGCCTCTCGCTTTCGGCCGGCTCAGGCATCGTCAACATTCAGAACGTATGTGCAAGACCCTGGATCTTCGTCTCTGGAACCCAAAAGCACTGGCCCAGTTGAGAACCCTTTGGAACCCATTCCTTCGAGCACCTCAGACACCACAGACACCCCTATTAAGTCAAGCACAACTGCAAAGTCCCCGTCAGTCGTGTCTCAAGCACCAGAGTCATCTCAGAGCTCTGCGAAATCAGCAAGAGATCAAGCACCTAGCGACCTGGTCCCTCCTCCCTTGTTTTACAATTCTCCCTCCAAACCCAGGCCTTGTTATCAGCGTGACCCCGTGAAAAAACACCCCCGAAAGAGACCAAGCTTCAAGCGAAGCTCCCTGATCAATCACCCACTGCCACTGGAACCCATCGCAGAGGACAGTCAGGCTAATGAAACCCATTGCAGTGCCAATCCGTCGCCGACGAGAACGTATCACCCATTCCACAAGCGTCAGACTTCCGCAGCGAGTTCTCTGCCTGGCTCTCGCCCTGGATCGAGCCTGGGTTACGGCCCGACGATCCCGCCCCCTGGGGTCTCGTCGACGGAGTCTCCGCAGTTTACGGCCAGACCAGGCTCCCCGATAAGGCCCTGGTCTCCCTCTCGCGGTACAGACTGGACTCGTCCACCGCCTCCGCCAGCGGCGGCGTCAGGTGTGAACTACGAGCCTGCAGATCTCAACGGTAGTCCGCGACCAGGTACCCCGAGCTCGAAGTATGGTGGGAGCCCTCGACGTCCGTTGCCGCCCGCGCCGCTGTTTTCCGGACCACCAGCTGGATCGGCTCCTGTGGAAACCAGCATTGACATCGGAGATGCCCCTGCCGCAGAGGATCCGTTTGGTGGTGGAGGCCGCACCATTGATCCTCGACCAGCCAGTATCCATTCGTATGATTCGTTTCTCAGCGAGTCGACCATGGTGACGGAGGACAAGGAGATGGAAAAGGTCGATCTGGATGACGGCCACAACGACACGGAAGTGCTGGTTGACCCGAACATGCATTACGGCCCAGCCCCCGAAGGCAAACAGACCCGGCGAGGCGTTCGACCGGCGCAGATGTCCAAGAAGGAAGTGCAACTGATCAACGGTGAGCTGGTCCTGGAGTGTAAGATCCCGACCATTCTGCACAGCTTTCTGCCCCGACGCGATGAGCGCGAATTCACCCACATGCGTTATACGGCCGTGACCTGCGACCCCGACGACTTCGTTGTGCGAGGATACAAGCTGCGCCAGAATATCGGGAGCACCATGCGCGAGACGGAATTGTTCATCTGCGTGACGATGTACAACGAGAACGAGATCTTGTTTACCAGGACCATGCATGGTATTATGCGCAACATCAGCCACTTCTGTTCCCGGACCAAGTCGCGCACATGGGGGAAGGACGGGTGGCAGAAGATTGTCGTGTGTATTATTGCCGACGGTCGTCAAAAGGTTCATCCAAGGACTCTCAATGCCTTGGCGGCGATGGGGATCTACCAAGAAGGCATTGCCAAGAACATGGTCAACCAGAAGGAGGTGACGGCGCACGTGTACGAGTACACGACGCAGGTGTCTCTTGACTCGGACCTCAAATTCAAAGGCGCAGAGAAAGGGATCGTGCCGTGTCAGGTCATCTTCTGCCTGAAGGAGAAGAATCAGAAGAAGCTGAATTCGCATCGGTGGTTCTTCAACGCCTTCGGCCGCGCCTTGCAGCCCAACGTGTGTATCCTGCTGGACGTGGGGACCAAACCTGCTCCGATGGCTCTGTACCATCTGTGGAAAGCGTTTGACCAGGATTCCAATGTGGCCGGTGCTGCAGGAGAGATTATCGCCGGTAAGGGCAAGCATTTCATGGGCCTGCTCAATCCGTTGGTGGCGTCGCAGAACTTTGAGTACAAGATGTCGAATATCCTGGATAAACCGCTCGAGTCGGTGTTTGGCTATATTACTGTGCTTCCCGGTGCGCTCAGTGCTTACCGGTACTACGCGCTTCAGAATGATTCTACTGGTCATGGGCCTCTCAGCCAGTACTTCAAGGGTGAGACGCTGCAGGGCAAGGACGCGGATGTCTTTACGGCGAACATGTACCTGGCGGAGGACCGTATTCTCTGCTGGGAGCTGGTGGCCAAGAGGGAAGAAAGATGGGTGTTGAAATTCGTCAAGAGCGCTGTTGGTGAAACTGACGTTCCAGGTATGTTGCTTCATCTAGCTTCCTCCAACGGTACTAATATCCTGCTAGACTCGGTTCCCGAATTCATCTCCCAGCGTCGGCGATGGCTGAACGGAGCCTTCTTCGCGGCTGTGTATTCGATCGTCAACATCCGCCAGATCTGGGAGACGGACCACTCGTTGGCGCGGAAGATTCTGTTGCACATCGAGTTTGTGTATCAGTTTTTCCAGCTTATCTTTACGTATTTTGGATTGGTGAGTTTGAGCGGGTGATATAGAGTCTTTTTTATATCTGCTAACGAGGTGCCTTTCCAGGCAAACTTCTATCTGGTGTTTTACTTCATTGCAGGCTCGCTGGCGAATCCAGAGCATGATCCGTTTGGTCATAACATGGGCAAGTACATCTTCTATGTGCTGCGATATGCCTGCGTCTTGCTTATTTGCCTGCAATTCATTCTGTCGATGGGGAATCGGCCACAGGGGTAAGTTGTACGACAGTACTTGGGTTTTGTTTCAGCTAACGCACCACAGGGCCAAGAAGATGTTCCTCTTTGGCATGATTGTTTACGGCATCATTATGGTCTATACCGCTTTTGCGACCATCTATCTAGTGGTGACGAAGCTGTTCAAGACCGGGGGTCGTCTCGAATTGGGCAGGGACAATTTCACCAACGTCATTGTCTCGCTGATGTCGACCATCGGGCTGTACTTTATCATGTCGTTCCTCTATCTGGATCCCTGGCACATGTTCACGTCGTCGGCACAGTATTTTGCGCTGCTGCCCAGCTACATCTGCATGTTGCAGGTGTACGCCTTCTGCAACACGCACGACGTGACGTGGGGAACGAAGGGAGATAACGTCCACCATATGGACCTGGGAGCGGCGCGAGGTCTGGGCGGGTCGACCGTCGAAGTCGAGATGCCTTCGGAGCAGCTGGACATTGACAGCGGGTACGACGAAGCGCTGCGGAATCTGCGCGACCGGCTCGAGGTGCCCAAGCAGCCCGTGTCAGAAAGCCAGCAGCAAGAGGACTACTACCGCGCGGTGCGCACGTACATGGTGTCGATCTGGATGATCGCCAACGCGATCCTGGCGATGGCCGTGTCGGAGGCGTACGGGATCGAGTCGGGCGCCAACAACGTGTACCTGTCGATCCTGCTGTGGGCGGTGGCCGCTCTGGCGGCGTTCCGCGCGCTGGGGTCGACGGCATTCGCCATCCTGAACGTCATCCACAAGATCGCCGAGGGCAAGATGAAGTTTGCGGCGGGAAACATCAGTGCGAAGGGCAGCAGCGCCAAGCAAAGCACCGTTGGAGGATCGACCAACTACGGCGGAAATGCGACCTGGCGCGACACTCTAGCGGAGATGGGCTGGACGGCGCAGCGGAAGCTGGGCAAGCTGATGTTTTGGAGGAGGTAGCATTCTACAGTATACTGTTAACAGTATACAAGTATACAGTGTACTGGTTCTGTGGAGGTGTCTTGATTTTGTTTTTCTGAATCTGCTTTTGACTTTTTTTTTCTTCTTGTCACGAGTCATCTTTTGATGGACATGAACGAACGAACAAACTCGAATGGTAATGCGATGGTCATGCACGGATTGGATAGTCATGTCGGTCATGTTAGTCATGTCAGTCATGTATGTATGTACGAATGTACCCACTACTCGAATGAATGCGATGGATACGGATATAATATTGTTCGAAGTATTCTCCAGGTCAAGATAGGTAGGTAAGTAAGAATCATTAATGTTAACCTTAGGCATATACATACGTACTGTACACTATGGACACACATAGAGTTCTACCGAGGTACCGAGGTCACTAACTGGCTTACCTTCCTCGTACGTAGGTACAGAGTACAGTTCATGTAGCATGCGGCTGAAAATAAAGCAATTTCTGGAGCCAAGATTGGAACTGGGCCTTAACTAATTTAGTAATTAATGTTATATATATACTTCGTACAGTGTTACATTACATTAGAGTTGTTATTAGTTGGGGAAAACCTTGTTTTTTTGTTTTGTTTTGTATGTGTTTTGTATTTGTGAACGGAATATTATTGCTAATTATTACATTTGTACTGTATATAGATTTATCTATACGGGGGGAGAGAGGAGAGTATATAGTCTTTTCTTCTTTTTTCTTTTAAATGAGTGCAGAGGTCATCAGCTAGGTAGAAATATCGATGCAGATGTACTGTATAATATTCATATACTTCGTACATAGTCCGTACAGCACCGGCTATCTTTCCCCTTTTCTTCTCTTTCTTTTCGCTAAATTTAAATTCGATTAATTCGAATCACAGCAGACGATGACACCACGGGGAAAAAGCCTCCTGGGCTGGACCAACAGCAGAGCCTCTTGGCACTTACCCTAACAGGATAAAAAAAGACGAGAATGATCGTCTAGATCCATTCCTTAACTTACAAGGCTGGATTAGCCCTGACTACTAGCGTAGTAGTCTGTGCTTTGAACCTTCTCTCTTGCTAAAGATATGCCTTCCTGTCCAATCAAAGTCCTCGCTAGCCGGGATGGATCGTAAGGTTGAACTTGCCCGACTGGGCGGTCCGTGAAGCTATTCCCGGTGTAAATAATATCGAATATAGTTCGTGGGTGGAAAAATCGTCGTATGAATACGAGGTCGTATAGATATATATGTTATGTTCCCAGCTGCAGGCTGAGTTTTTTCCTACTCTGTCAAACCCAGTAAACGGTCTGTACAGTATACAACATGCCCGCCCTGCATATCACCCTCCTCGCCCTCCTAGGCACCGCCCTCGCCTTCTCCTTCATCCAACTCGGCCTGCTGGCCCACGCCATCTCGATCCTCAACCAGGTCGTCGAGGTGCCCGTCTACGACTACGGGTTCGGCTTCACCTACGAGACCACCAAGATCGGCACGCCCGCCATCATCGCCTTCCTGATGTTCGCCGCCGTCTGGTCCATCCTCGTCTCTGCTGCTGCGTTGGGTCTGCCATTGTTCTTTCACTCAAAGGGGCAGCATGCGTGTAATGCGTGGTTGGCGCCCGCCCTTATTGCTGTCTACTTCGTTACCTGGGTCTTTTGGCTGGCTGGGTTTGCGGACCTGGCTGCCGTTGTGGGCGATTCCCTTGTTGGGTCGCCGTATATTGATGCGATTATTGCGTTTGGCGTGTTGTTATGGTGGGAATATATATATATATACATAGCAAAACTAGAGTTAACTGGGTCAACTGCTGACTGGTTGACTACTCTCCAGGCTCATCTTCGTCGCGCTTTTCGTCCTGAGTTTCCTTGCTGTCTTTGATGTCCTCAAGGCTGAATGGCCTGGATACTTGCCGCTGCGGTCTCGCACGACTGCTGCTGCTGCTGATACTGTCCCCGCTACGTCTGCGTCTGCGCCCGCCGCCTCTGCTGACCCGGCTGCCCAAGAGCAGAAGGTGGAGGCCGGGCAAGAGAGTTCTGCTTAAACACGAGTTGAGATGAAGCGTACGGAGTACTGTATGTATGTACATACACTTGCATTATGTGCCGGTGGTCTGCATGCATGCATTGAGTAAGTGATTGAGTGAGTGGGCGTCCTAGACGATTATCCTATATCATATAAATCTACGATATCATGTCAACACAGTGTGTTGGTTATCATGACTTATATTTATGTTTATACCCTGTCTGTCTGTTTGCATCTGCATCTGCATTTGCATTTGCATGTATAGTGTTAGTTAGTTAAGAGAAGAGAGGAATGTTCATAAGAGAAGATTAAAAATCTGGATTTGATTGATTCAGAAAAAGCATTGCATGTTAAGTGTAGTCCACTCAGTAGGTACTGTACAGTACATGTATTTTACGAGCTTGATTCCTGCCACGCAATCCAAATCATACGAGTTTCCATTGAGAAATATGCTGGATCCAGTACCAATAATACCAGACAGCAAAGGGGAAAAAAAGTACCAGATAGAGAAGAACACTGCCAGTCGGATATATGGCATGGCAGGCATCTATTTGTTTATTTATTTATTGCCTCTTCCTTCTTAGACCAGGAAACTTACCTACTCTGTACAGAGGATGGAAAAATAGCAAGTCTAGCATTAGTAAAGAGAGACCTGTTGGTTAAGTCTGTGGATTGGTCATTGGATGGTATAATGAATGCATTACTCTGTATGCATAATGCATGATGATGGTCGAATAAAATAAGAGTGAGACGAAAGGGAGAAAACAAAGAAAAAAGAAGAAAAAACAAGAGAGATGAATTCCTTTCATCATGGCCATCATCTTCTTTTTTTGCTTTCTCTTTGAAGTACTTTTTTTTAAAAAAATATGAAAAACATTGTCTCAAAATTGCCACTTATGATTTTTTTTTTGCATAAATCTCAAATAAATTCTGACTAAATGCACTTAGGAATACATACATAATCTATTATCACTGCGATTTTCAGGGCTGTGTTCTATCTCTATCTACTTCCTACCTAGACATGTATGTAGCATAAGGTTATTAACCACTAAAGACGGACATGCATTAGGCAATTCTACTACGAGTCATCATGCATAAACCCTAGACGCGCGAGGGATGTAGATCTTGTCTTTTGTGGGAAAAAAAATTACAATGTTGTAATTATGAGCGCTGATTCTTTGTTGGGAAATAGCTTGATATCTATGTATCATCAGTCTGACTCAGATGGATGTGTGTGCTGGTTTGAGCACGTTACGCTTCATACCAGCTTGCAGTGTATAGCTATATATATATGTACACTTCCCTGATATGAGGAATGGGCTCTCCCTCAAGCAGCTGTTCACGTTACAATAGCTTATTATATCTCTGTGCAATTTTCTCTCTCTCTTTTTTTTTGTCAGAATAGGTATTATTATGGGCCCCACGGAAGAAAGCCGGAGAGAACACCTGATCAAAGCTTTGCGCGGCCAAAAAAGTCATCACTCCAGACCTGAAACCACTCCTAGGACACTGGGCTAAGGGTGTAAGCCGGAGCTGGAGCGTCTCTGTGTCGATATGGACAAATATATTAAGCGGTACGCATACATTCTGCAATGTTCCAGGCTGACATTCATCTGTCAGATCCTTCCCTCAAGGAAAGAAGCGACAGAACATGCAGGACTTGGACGCCGGCTCTTTCGGATCGCAGTGGTTCTCGTACGCGTCGTTTGAGAGAATTGGTTTTATGGCGTATATCTGCATTTGGGTAGGTTTAGCATTAAAAGTCTGTATACTGTAAGAAGGCTTGCTGAGTTGTGCTTGTTAGTTGTTCTCGTGGGATGATGGTATAGTTTCTCTCTTGAATTCCTTCTTCGAACAAGAATGTATTTTATTTATTTGTTTTTTCCTTTTTGGCTAATAGCAACAGACACCGATAACCAGAGTTCACCGATATGCTATACGAGGCGACGAATAGCAGCATTCTGTAGCCAAACTAAAGAATTCATCCACCATGTCCTCACACCGGATGCTTCCGATATTAGTCAACTACCTGGCAGTGACAACTACATAATTTCCAACTTCGAGCCTATTGGGAAGCCTGTCTCCGCTGTATACAGTCCTGGTAAGTGGACGGTTTATGGGCTGTGAGGTGCCTGACGGCTGACATGCTGCAGCGCAGAGGGAATTACTTCTCCAGCAACTCAACTATGTCGACATGGCTCTGCTGGAGCAGCAGGTCCTGACAAGCAGGAAAGTACATTCTGTGGAGGAATATCTCGAGCGTAGGATGGGCTCGAGTGCTAATGGCGTTGTGCTTGCTTTGATTGAGATGTATGTCATCTCTCTCTTTTTTTTTTTTAATATTGACCTGGTTGATATCTTGAGTAGATACGGCTACGAAATGGAGATGTCTCCGTCAATCGTCCAGGGGAAGGAGATGCGTTAGCTGCGGAAACTTACCAATATAATCATTGCAATGTTCGCTGCGACATCTGATATTCATTTTCATATGCTTGAGCTAATCGTTCTGTCATGCAGGACCGACGACCTCCATTCCGCCAGAAGGAGCTTTATAGCATTCCTGTCTAGTGTACTTCTAGCTACCTGACCGACCTCTGCAGAAACTCGGACAAGTCGACACGATTCTTTCTCTGCTGTACCTCCAACACGGCTCTCTACAGAAAGGAGTTGACCAGGCCTTCGAGATGATCCGCTCCGCCGTTGCCGAATTCAATGTCCTATCCAAACAATTCCTCGCCACCTACTTGAATGACGTCGAACTGCATGCGATGCTGCAGAAGTACATTGCTGAGTTGCAGTATGCCTGTACTGTACGGCTAACGTTAACAGGGGATACTTCCCATTCTCGTCGTTCATCCTTTTTTTTTTCTGTGCTGTACTGATTTATCCACTCTCAGCACGAAGCGATACCATGTTGGCAGTGAGTATGTCGGCGGAGGTGTGAAAGTGATGTTTGAGTAAGATGTCAAATAGAAAGGATGGTTGAGCTAGTAGTAGATATTGGTGTAGAAGGATTTGTTTCATGGAAATCAGATCGATCACTTACTGCATTTTTTGCTTTATCTGAGTCTGGTTCTAGAGGAGAGATATTAGTAGATAACAGTATTGTAATCACTTCAATAGATTTTTTTTAAGATAAAAAGCCAAAGGACACAGGAGCAATTCCAGGTCCTCTTAAGACATTCTCGGTATGTACCCGGGTGATAATAAAATTAGCCCTATCGGACAATTCCTCCACAAAGATGCCTGCCTTGTGTAACTTACTAACCTCCTTTTTGTTTTTTTAACAAGGCTAGACGTAAACAATACCATAATTTATTCATTCGGATTTGAGACGGATAAAAAAGGGAGATTCTCGACTAGGTACGCAAGGAGCTGCATTCCCCTACTATCTTATCTTATTCTATGACAAAGACAAAGAAAACATTAAGATAAATGATAAAGACAGTGTTTTATTTATACCCCAGTTAAGAACGAGATAATCTGTGGTTTATCTATCTAACTCTCTCTGACTATCAGACTGGCATTTTGATTGAGCCTTGTGCAACGTGCACAGTATGTATGTATGTATGCATGCATGCTTCCTTTCGTTTAAACCTAGGGCTGGTTGATAGTAATTAATCACATGTACTTATTCTCTATCTATACTTGACTTGACTTGACATTGTACTCCTCCTCCTTTTTCCTCACTCGTTCTATGACTAGCAACTAATTGTGATTTTTACTCTCAAACTGATTTATTGACCTGATGTGTATGTGTATCAGCATGGGCCGCTGGTCAAACTGCAGTGAGGTACGGTACATATTCAGGTCTCTCCCTCCAGTACAAAGAAAGAAAAAGCTAATTCACGATATTATGCCAACAGGACAGTACTCGTCTTCCAGAGGGCATGCAGCGAATCAGCTATGACGCAGACACGCAGGTGTACACTTATCAGGATGCCGACGGCACACTGTGGGAGGGGGCACCGGGGGCGCGATACGGGGTGTTGAAAAGGGGTATATTTCTGCACTTTCTCTCTGGAGATGACTTCTGGCTAACTGACTGATTTTATTTTTCTTGTGATGTATAGTCCAAACATTACCAACCCTCCCAGAAGAAGTCAATCCTCCTTCTCCTTCTCCCTCCTCACTGTCCACCAACACATCAGGGCAATTCAAGCACTTTGACCAGTTTGACATATGCCAGTGCCAATGCCAGAATGAAAAGAAGCCCTTATCTACCTCGACCGGAAATACTGCTGCTGTTACCAGCGACAGAAAGAAACACCATGAACGTGAAGGTGGACGTGGACGCGGACGAGGACGCTTTTTCGCTGTTCTTTTTCTTCAGGTTTGTTTCCCCTGACATACACACACCTTCTCTATTTTTCTCCTTTGCTTTGCTTTTCTTTTCTGTTATTATCTGGATAATATACAAACAAGTCACTAACCCCAATCTTTCTCCAAACAGCGTCTGACACGCTCCACATCCACCAAGACCTTCACTCTCGCCGAACAACGAACCACCATCAGCACCAGTACCAGCACCAACACCAACAGTACCACCAGCAACATCACTACCAGCCGGAGCAGCAGCACCAGCAGTATAAGAAAGATGGAGCTATTACTGACACGACACAAGCGGGCGAGGTCGACTTCTACTGCTACTGCTAGTACAGCCACGACAGCTACTACCGCTACTTCTACTTCGATAGCTACTACTACTGCGACTAATGGCAGTGATAATACTCTTCTGTCCAGTCCAGTCTGGTGACTTCTCCTCCTCCTACCTAGCTACCTACCTAGCTGGCTGGATGGTTTGTCGTGTAGATAGATTGTTGACGTATGAGGATGGATGATGGATGGATCAATTCATTGAAATTAGTCGGGATTAATTATTTGATTGTTAATCGCTATATATTATATTCTCTTTGATATTCTCTTTGAATGGGGTTAAGCGAATAATTAATGAAAATGTGAATTCTCTTGGTTGTTGCTGAATAAATAACGCAGGCAAAGGAAAGAATTTTTTTTAAAAAAAAGCGGGAGAGCGACAAACTATACCATCGACTGTCTTTAAAGCTAGGAGGATGGATATATGTACTGTACTCTACATTATATAGGCATGGGAGTTAATAAAAGTCCTCAGGAAAGACTGTTATCATTATTCTGAATCAAGTGTTCCTGGTCTTACTATTAATGCCTAACTCTTCTCATCCATAGTAAGAATCTCAATCCAGACTGCGCTTTCATCCTATCGTACAGACAAACAGAAAGCTGGAGCAAAGAACGACAAGCAACGAGGAAAGAACCTCAGATATGGCCATGTCATGACTGCTCAGCCCACATCGAAAAGAAAAAGTCCACAAGAACATCCTCTCGATACGAACAGCACGAACAGCCTGTCAACCGACTGCATCACCATCCTTCCGCCTTGTAGGCACTCCCATCCTCCGGATGCTTCCTGAGCCACGGCTCGACCTCATCATCCGCCATCTCGTGAAGGATCACCCTACTCGGCTCGTCCACCGACTTCTTCTTGGCAAAAGAAGAAGGACCCTTGCTCTCGTCCGGGCCGAGGGCGTACGCGAAGAGCGTGCCGTCGAGGTTGAACGCCGTCGCAAGGACGGATCCGCCCATGTTGGGGAACGTCCTGACGCGCTTGTGGGTTTTGTAGTCCCACATTGTCAGTGTGCCGTCTGCGCAGGCGGTGCTGAATGTGCTGCGGTAAAGAGGGTGGAAGCTGATAGCGTTAACCTCGCACTTCGGGTTTGCACCGTCTTGACGACTGCATTTCCAGTCGTAGTTGCGTTTCTCGCTGAGATGTCTGTCAGCAGTGCTATCAAAAGCTAAAAAAGGGGAATAGATGAGAGAGACCTACGCTTCAGCATTCGCGTCCAGATAATGGATTGCACACTGTCCGTCGGCGCTCCCCACGGCGAATCCGTACGTGCCAGGCAGGCATTTGACCACACGGGTCTTCTGCAGCAATGGACTTTTCACCGTCAAACGTATGCTATACTGCTGGAGCAGATCGACGATGTGGATCTCACGACTACCTGTGCCTATCACTAGCATACGCTCGTCAGTGTCCAGGCATTCGACTCGCTGATTACAATACAGCGAGCCGATGGGCTCTCTCTGGCGCAAATCCCAGTAGTTGACGATGCGGTCCCGGGAACCGGTGACGAGCAAATCGGTGCGAGTTGCGCGGTGATCAAAGAACTTGGCGCAGCTGACAGGTTCCTCATGGCCGTCCAGGCGACGAAGTGTTCTCGCTTCGCCACTCACGTCCAAGACGCGAGCGGACTTGTCGGCGCTCGCCCCGACGACGAGGTTCCTGTACTAGATCTCGATCAGTATGGATCAGACAGATTCTCAGCAGCAAACAAGTATCTTTACACGAGACCAGGCACAGCTGAGAACAGGCCCATCGAACTGCACTTTAACCCGCTCTTCCGCATCCAAATAACCCTCTACCTCGTAGATCCGCAGTGTATTGTCCCAGGAAGCGACAGCGAGCATGTCCCTGGCCGACGACCAGGCCAGGCTCGAGACCTGCTTCTTGGGGCAGGAGGCCAACTCGATGTCGTTGTAGATCCATCCGGTCTCCTGGAGAAGAGGGACCGGGCAATTAGTGATTCTGGGGTATATGGACATTGTCACTATGGCTGATGGAAAGTAAGAAGGGACGATCGAGGAATAGGGAGATGATAAGATGATACAGGATGAATGTCTCAAATGGAAGAACAGTTGAGACAAGACACAGAGGGATGGACAGATTAGAATGTGTCTGAAGGAAAGAAGATGAAAGCAGAAAGGAAAGCAGGACTGTCACAGAAGGTCGCCATGGTGAATTTTGTCTCCACGATGGGCTGGCGGCTGGTTAATAGTTTGTATGGGGCTGGACAAGCTCGGCGTGCTCCAAGGTCTTTCCACATTCAGAGAGAAGCTCAGCGTCACGCATCTTGTGAGGGAGGTCTTGAGTGTTTGTTGGGACTGTCAGTGCACAGGAGCATTTGATGTTCACTTCACTGTTATATTGATGAGTTGGAAATCCCACTGTCCAGAAGAATGGTAAAGCTTGACTAGTACAAACATCAGGCATAGCACAATGCAACATCTGGGAGAGTGAAAGAGGGAATGAGTTTGATATCCACCACATGACAATCAAATCCGAGACATTAAAAAATTATTTTATCACTAACTCAGCAGGGTATCTAAAAGCATTCAAATACAGCAGATGGACAAACAAACCGCTCCATGACCCATTCTGACAAAACCTCGAGTAATGCATTTTCCCTTAAACCGTAGAACAAAAACCTCTCGATCATAATCATCATCACGTCGTAAGTCATCATCAGTCTATCTATCGATGCATTCGAAAGATTAGGATTAAGTCGGCTTCATGCCGTAGATAAAACGGACTTTGGCGTAGAGATGAAGTTGGGGGTTGCAAAGCTCAGCTTTGACCCTGGCGATAATTTGGTGAATCTTGTCCAGTGGCATTCTTAACACGCGAGTGGCAGCTGCGAGGGTGTACGGTTCGATGGATTCATAGACCGCAAGCAGAGCGTATTGGCCGAGTTCCTTCAGGCGAGCGTCTTTGACCCACGCACCAATAGGTACCTGAATGGATTTATGAGTATGGCACATACTAGGGTTTAGTGTTCGAGATCAACCAACCTTGTAAATATCCTCATGCACATCGGCAAACCCAGCGTCGACCATGGCCGGTTTCAACCTGCTTGCATCGTTGAAAGACTTGCCAAACCTCGTGCTGGCCTCGTTGACCATGTTCAACCAATTCGGGATGTATTCAGCCCGCTCCAGGGTGCCGTCATCTGAGTACACCTCCATCTCGAATTCCTGCATTTCCAGCCACCCGCCCGGCCTGAGATTGTCGAACGCCTGCTGGAACAAGCCGTTCCACTCCGCAATACTGCCACACATTGCTCGCCCATGGATGAAGTCGAATTCGTGACCAAACGTCCACTGGCCCTCAACGTCGTCAACATAGAACTTGCAATTCGGAGGCACCCAAGACGGCTGGATGGGGCTGAGATCGGTGCCGATGACTTGGGCACTGGGGAAGACGTCAGCCATGTCCATCGCCCAGAGGCCTGTTCCGGTGCCAATGTCGAGGATGTGCTGGGGATGGGACGGGATGGGCGCCCGGAACAGTTTTCCCTGCAGCAGGAGCAGGAAGACGTGATGGATCAGATCCAGACGGCGCTGCTCGATCTCGTCGTTGGGCAGCAGGTAGACACCTTCTCGGAAGGCGTGATAGCGACGTCCATTCTCATAGCGATAGCGGGTGACGGAGGACTCGATTGACATGCTGTCCACACTTTGGGCATCTTCGGCTACGCCCTCGTCTTCGAGATACTGGCAAGAGTTAGCGAATGGGCAACTGCAGGCAAGAAAGCGATCCCCACGTCATCGGTGTGCAAGTCTGCATCCATATTGGATTTTGTCGATGCAGCTGTTTGCGTCGACATGGTGGCTTCCAGGCAGGGCACAGCAGCCCTGAACAGGAACGAGAAGGAGAGGAAGAGGAAGAAGAACGAGCAAGACAGAACAGGAAGGCGAGCTGGGCCTGGTCAGAGGCGCTCAGTTCCATTATAAAGCAATGCTCGTGACTGTTGACTGAAAAAGAAGGTCCTTTTTTTCACGACTGGTTGATCGCGGGTCCGATGGGGCCTGAAATTCTGTCCATCGATCGACCCAAACGGTGTAACCTGGAGGCATCGACGATTTTCAGGAGACCGCAGGACGATTCACCAACCATGGCCCCGAACCCCATTTTGACAGCATGCGAAGTCTGTAAGCGAGCGTTGACGTTGGATTGGGGGAGGCCATTGGTGATAAATCTCCGCAGGGGACTTTCCATCGTCCCAATAAACAGATCTGGCGACGTTTTAGCGACCTTTCACTCAGCTCTCGAACGTCAGACATATCGAATGATCCCCTGCGCCAGATCCTAACAAGCGCCCGGGGGCCACTCTGTTAGACGCGTTGCCAACCAGCAGCAGCGGCATCCTGGTCCGTCTGTGGATCGTCCTCCGCGGCGACGCTAGAGGGATCCACTGCAGGAGCTGCAGGCGGAGTGAGATCCAAAGCCCCAGAAATTCAGACTTCCAGACGTGCCGAAAGGTGTGTTGGGTTGTGTTGTCCAACGCATGTGGGTGGATGAAAAAAGGAAGGCCGAAATGGCGGAAGACGGAGAGTTCCAAATTTTCGGCATCGCGAGACTTGTCCGTCCAAAAAACGGCCAGAAAATTCCCCCAAAAGAAGACAACTTCAACGGCGAAAAAATAAAATAAATTTGCGTCTTGATGACGGAGATGCTGCCTGCAAGGGACTAAAGAGTCGAGACCCAAATTTATTCCAGCATGACTGCTTCTTTATCGGCCCGTCCGTCGGTGGACGTTCTTGTCTTTGGGCCGACTAAATTTTGGGCCATTCGCGCCGCCAACCAAACAAGACCCAAATCTCAAAAACAAGAAGATCCATCAGCTGCGCGGTCTGATTCGGCGCCGGAGCCGACTTGCAGCCATGCAGAATAAATAAATGCGCCGGTCATGCGACTGGGATGGCCCTGGGGAGTTTTATTTCTCCGCTCGCCTAGCTGGGAGATCGCCCAGCCGACGCTGAATGGATCATCGATTGCGGCGCAGCAGAGATCCAAGCAAGGAGATCCGTTTCATGTCTGTGGGTAGGATGATTTGGCTTGGTCGATGCATTTGAACAACCCTCCAGGCTTGTTTCAGTCGTGATTCAAGGCCTCAGGCTCAACACGGCGGCCTCAGGCGCAACGGAACCAGCCGAAAATCATGCTTCCACTATTTCTAGTGATCTGCTGCTAGTAAACTGCTAGTAAAGGGCTATAAAGATCTTCATTAACGCATAGCTTGCTCTATGTATATTTTTATCACTTAATAAGCAATAGTCCTGGAGTATTTGCCTATAAAAGAAATCACGTCCGAGCATGAAGATGATCGTCAATTTTGACAGAACGCCCTAGTTTTCTATTTTCTAGACTATGAAATAGAGGATGGCTGAATAATATCAAATAGACTGATTATAATGAGCACAAACAAATCTGCTAAATAATAAAAACAATAAATATCTCCCTAATCTCACGAATTTGAATATTGACTGCTTTTTTCGATAGATAGTATTTTTTTCCTTTTTTTTTTGATTCGATATATTTATTCTGAACAGAGCAAGATATAAGATATATATGTGCATAGTTCGCAGCTAAAGCGAGACTAATATTAATATGATATTAATACTGACAGAATCTGCCTGAGCGCAGGCCCAATTTTGGACTGGATAGATGTAGATGGTCATCCGCGTGACGCGTACACCAGGTCTTGACATTATGTACTCTATCTTTTTCTTTTTCTTTTTTTTTTCTTTTTTTCTTTTTTTTTGGGGGGGGCTATCCGTACTATACTCTGTTGGCGCTACCGATTAGATATCCAAAAAGTAATTCATGGATGGAATAAATAATTGGCAGTATGTCGAATGTACATTACACCTCTGAGGGAGTCCATAGATATGATCTACCCCGTAATTATGCAGCCTAGTCCGTTATATGCGAAATCAAACTGGAATCAGAAAATGTGGATGAGTGACGAGACAAAAATAGTTGCGACTTCGCTACCCCTTCCACTGCTGATACGCAATAACAACCTGCACAACACCCGTAATCGTCTGGGCAAGTCCAAAAAGAAAGGCCAATACCAGCGCTGCGACAGCAATCCAGAACGTGTACCGCTAATTTGGCTTTCTCTTGTCGATCCACCATTGCTTGAATGTTCTTGGCTCAGTATTGTCATACACTTCCTTGAGAAGAAGGAGCTTCTCCCCCCAATATCGATAGGACGAAACGTCTCGCGGAGCAGGGCGCGTGAAGCCCGCTTCGACGTCGATATCCTGCTGTTCTTGAATCCTGCGAAGCCACTTGCGACACTGGAAATTGGATCTCGGAAATAGAAGGGCCAGCGTCAAGGCAGTTTCTTCGAGAAGGCCGGGAGGGAAGATCTGCCTTTGTCCTCTTTTAGCCAGCCAGATCACTCAACAATGACATGAAAGCTGAAAAATTAAATACGACTACTTCTTAGAGCTCATGAGTCTCACCTTTCACCGGAATTTTGGTAGTTCTGAAGGAACTGGCCTTGATCAAACAGATATAGCACTGTTTCCGTATGATCCAGAGAGAGATGCTCCCAATTCGTCCAGACGATTTGCAGCCCGCCAATTTCCTGCAGATTCAGGGCATTGAAATCAAACGGGAATGACTGCTTTTTGCTTGCCTTGGTCATGCTTGGAGGAAAGCAGCTATAGATGTATTGTTGCAACGTTTGGCTATCATTCCAGTCCTCCCCTTTCACCGTCAGCCAAAGCCAGCTCAATCGCCACCTCTGCTGCGTTCCAAGAGTAGCCTAACCATGAAGGCGCCTCATCTAGAATCTTCCGAACAAGCTCTGCGCGGGGGATGTGAGAATTTTGGCGGACGAAGGAGACGATATCAACGACATCTTGGTGGACGCGAAGTTTCAGCTCTTCCGTGTCGACCAGTGCACAACGCCCAAAGTAGTTGTCGAGGAAAGAATTGGTGCCAAAGCGGGTACGATGGAAGAAGCCAGCACTATTCTGTCCCCATAGTTCTCGCACCAGAGCTTCTTCAAGTCTCTTTCTCTTTGGCTCTTTCTCTTCTTCAAGCGCCAATACTACTGACGAGTCGGAGAGCGCTTCTTGAAGGGGGTTTGCCAGATTAGAGGACGCCATGGAGATGTCAATAGATTGAAGACAGGGAATTGACATGAAGCAAAGCCAACAAGGCTGCATAGCCATATGACAGGCTGGGCCGCAAGGTGGAAAGAAAAAAATCAGTCCATGTCGAGTTGGGCCGCGGAATAGCTCCATCTAAGCCTCGACGAAGTCCGCATTGCACTCAGCCTTGTCTGTTTTATATTCCAGGCTGCATCTTTAGACGGCCAGCCTTGCAGCGTCGTGTGACAGGGGTTGACCGCCACTCCGCCATTTGCGTCCATTCTGTTCTCTGTGCAAGAATCGATTGATCTGGTGCGTGGAAGAAGAAAGACTTGCCATCAGGGAAACAAGGCGTGGAAGGGATGCACTTCCTCTCAAACGCTCCAGAAGGAAGGCGTGGCTGTACGGATTCCAAGCGACAAGGGCGTAGTTGGCCGGGAGGTCCAAGCTTGTTGTATACCCTGTCACTGCCACGTCAAGCCAGAGAAAGAAAGCCACACTGGGCTGTGAAGGTGAGGGAGCTGTCAGAGCAAAGCCCTCTGAGCTGACTAGAGACTCCAGAAGGACTCATTACCCCGCTCTTCGGCGTCTCCCGTTGAAGATGCTCTTGCAACTCAACCAACACCATGGCTGCCTATGTCCGTGTCGCAACATATCCGGCGGTCCAGCTCAGTACCAGTGCCTGGGAAGAAATCCCTGCGTTGGAGCGGGCGGCATGTATCAATGAAACCCACTTTCGGCAAGTCGAGGATGAGAAAGCCTTCGATCCAGATGGCCGTCTCCTCCAGGTGTGGACTACCACAGTTTGTCCCAGTCTAAAGCGCGTGGTCGAGGATCACAGGGCAGATATACTTCGAAGCATCAAGAAGAAGAAGCTGCCGCCGTTCGTCATTCACTTCTGGATGATGGGGAAAACGTTTGACACCGCTCGTCCAACCGTCGTCGTTCTGAGCAACGACCGCAAAGTTTCGCGACGCATGGTCGAGCTGATCGTCGAGTGCGACGGCTTCAAAGACCTCGGGTTTGATACGCGAGCCTACGAAAAATCGATCTATCAGCATAAGGGCGGTGGCCGTGGCGAGTTCAGTCCTCTACCATGCTTGTTGTGCGGCTCCATGATTCTGGCCGCTAGCAGTCCCAACGATCTGCCTTCCCATGGTCGCAAAGTCACCATCGGTGGTGTCATCGCTCTGAATTCGGAATATTTTGGCCTGACCGTCGCACATCCATTTTTCCAACAATCTGACGAGAACGAGGACGAGGAAGCGGAAGCGGAAGCAGATGTGGATGAGCTGAACTCCGAAGCAGAGATAGATTCAATGTCTCCCTCTTCAAGCACCGTTAGAGACAATGCCGCCACGGAAAACGAGCTAAACCCTGCGGTTACAAATGTATACTTCCCGCCACCAGACGAAAATACAGAACCTGTATTCGTGGGCCACCTGAGAAGGCAACTGTCGGGAGCCATCAGTGCCTCGGCAGCTGGCTTCGACGGGTCGCTATGCGAGGAGCTTGACTGGGCGCTGGTTGAGATTGACGAGAAGCACGATGACGTTTACAATCGAATTATCCTACCAAACAAAAAGACTTTGAGTCCGCGTGCGATCGCCTCTATTCCACCGCCTAAATGCATTTGGGTTGCTGCAGGCGCCTCTGGTGTGCGGGAGTCCTGGGTATCAAATTCAGTCTGTGTTATCTACCTATCAGGATCCAAGATGCAGGACGCGTGGACATTGGATTTGGAAACTGGTATGTGACCTCTGCGTTATGGATGGTCGACTTGCTAAGAAAGTCGCAGAGCCTGGTGACTGTGGATCGTGGGTCGTGGACGATGAAGGAAACCTGCACGGGATGATTGTGGCTGGATGCGATCTTGGCCTCGCTTATATGTTTTCCGCCGAAAAGATAATTGAAAGTGTGAAATCGAGAAATAATTATCCCACCGTTTATTTGCCTAACGAAGAGCAATGGGAATTCGATATCTTCCATACAGATGATATGGCTACGTTTTCGAGAACCAGAAAAAGTGGTCGAAGGCATTGCCGCTTCGAGAACGAAATGTGCAGCGGTGCGAAGCCTTTCTAGGAGCAAGACATCCAACAACTGCAGTCAAGTCGTTCAACTTGGCCAAGGTCTGTTCAGCTGTGAGGGACTACGACAAGGCGCTTGGAATACTGTCTGAAGTAATTGAAACTCGGAGAGATGTTCTTGGCCTCGATCATCCAGACAGTCTGCTTAGCATGGCTGAGTATGGAAGGACTTGCTGCCTCGCGTATCAGAGCGTAGGCGTCATTTTCGCAACTAACGGAATAATCGAGAACTGTCCCGGGACTAAAGACCCTCTTACTTTGAGAATCTTATCCAGGCTTGCGGTGATCCATCAGCAAGGGGCAGAGGACGACTTAGCAAACGCGTATCGTTATTTGATCCGATCAATCAGAGACATGAACATGGATGAAGATAGAGAGTATATCCTGCAGGCAATGCTCATGCTTGCGGAACAGTTTATTCGTCAGAACAACGGTTGGAAAGCTGATAATCTACTCTGCTGGGCTCTCGCACAGAGCGGACACGAGGACCTTGGTCTGATGGATTCTACGACCACCAGGATCATGATTGACCTTGCCGAAGTCCGGAGATTAGAAGGCAAAGTCGATCAAGCAACAGAGATCCTCACTTCTGTTCTCGAGAAGCAGGAACGGATCCTTGGAGGTGAACACTTAGATACAAAGAAAACAAGGGCATTGCTCGCTCAGCTGTGCGACCCTCCTTCCACTTTGACTACATTGCCGACGAGGTCTGCTCCGACTAAAAATCCTTTCCAACATCTGACCACCACCAAGTCTGGAGCTATGGGCGGTTTCAATTATAGTCCGTTTGCTGGCAAGCAGGGTGCTGGCGAATCTAAGTTACGCGATAGCTCTTTCGCCGCCAAATCCTCAGTATTCTCTGGTTTTGAACAGGAACCCCCTCGCTATGAGTCGGTGGTGTCGCCATTGTCGCCAAGACGTGATTGGAGTGGAAAATTCAGGGACGAAGGCTTCAATAACCCTCAAGCCCGGAAGAGTTCGAATCTGCCCTCTTTTGGCGAGGGTCAGGGGACTAACAATAAGGAGAATATGCCTGGATGATTTTTTGGAGTTGACAGCATTGGATATGATCCTAGATTGACCAGATTTGACACCAATTTCCCTGACTAAGACGATGGAACGACGAGTGGAGCGATAATCTTTACAGTTTCAACAATATCGGACGACTTATTTCGCGGTGCTTTGATTTATCAAACAGTCGCATTAATTACTCCGTATATCAGAACACACTGGTAGACAGTTATTAGGGCTAGGACGTGTAACAATAATATTTCTCTGTTAGAAAATATGCATTTAATGCGGGGGAATATTGAAATTCCATCAAATACCTATCATAATATAAAATATAGAGTCAATCTCATTCGAAAGAGGCAGAAGAGTCAGAAAGATTGTTAGGTATTTGAAGGTCAGATGACCCATCATAGGAGGTAAATGATCGGGTTTCCTGTTTGGGAAAGGGTTGCGTCTCTTGACTACTGCAGTACATAATATCAATATCAAAGGTCTCCTCCTGCAGTCTTTGTAGTTTTTGCCTTTACATCTCTCTAGCTAGTTTCAGGTCCTGGTTCTGTAGCTGCTGATTTGATTCATTTGATTGAGCCGAGTTGACAGGTCATGCTAGACAGAGAGTATCATACCTAATGATTTGCCACTACTTGGCAAGAGAGCGTATCAGTGAAAACAAAACACTTGCAGGGCCATTTATTTGTCCATTTTGCATCGTCTGTCACTTTTGCACTGCCTTACCTACCTACTAGTCTGGCAACCCAGCCAATCACACCCTCCCCCACAGGCATATACAATTCCTTTGTTTCCGTCTCTGCTCAACGGACAGGGCTGAATAGTGCAGCGGTCAGGACTGCACCTGTCAGTATGTCGAAGTCTGGTCAGAAACAATTTGGCCCAGGTGTTCGATCCCTGTGGTTTCCAAATAAAAAAAATTGGGGACCCATTTATCCTGACTTGTACAAATCTGTGGGGGTGCTGCGGAAGGGACGGCACCCCTTATCAGAGGTTTTTTTTTCTTTTTTTTTGTTTATTTTTGCTTTTTTTTATCTATGGTATTATACCGCATCAACAGAGTGCCTGCCCGTGTCCTTCTTGTTCTGAAGTCGATTAGTTGTTATCTATGATCCTGAACCATCTGCCATAACCGCTAGCAATACTATTATGCCCCCGTTGCTCTGATAGCGTAAGTGTAAGTGGCCTCCGTGTTTGTTTGAACTCGGAAGGAGAACAAGTATCCAGGAAACCAATCATTCTCATTCTCTAGCCACTTGCAGTAGATTGGGAGACATTCGTATTCAGCTTGTTGTGGGGAATTGAGTCGGAATCTCCATTCCACGGGTGAATTGACGATGATTTCTTGCGGGGGGTGGCTTATCCACTCGAGTTCAACTTCTGCGCGCTGTGTCTGATCTGTATTGTCACTGTTGTCTCCTCCTCCACTATTCGTATCTGGGTTTGGAAAGACATTGTTTCTGTCGTTGTCAACAACGGGATTCTGATTGTTGTTTCCATTGTTGTTTCCACCACCACCATTCGTATTTGGATTGCCAAAGACAACATTTCCGTCGTTGTCCAAAAAGCGCGGTGGCCTCGGAGGTTTCTGACGAAAGTATAACACTGGGACCTTTTCGCCTATTCCCCTGGCCATGGCTGTAATAATGTCCTGCATTTTTCTATCGAGAGTAACTAATGGAATCCCTTCGATCACACCAGCAGTCTGTCTATATGTCTGTTATAAGTCAGTTCCTCGTTGAGCCACATAAGAGGAAGGATATGCATTTGTTCGACTAACTTGATGGTTTGTATATGGATAAGCCTCTTTATACTTCCTCGTTCTTTGAAATAAAGAAGTAGAAAAGAAAGAGTAGATAATGACATGTTTAAGCCTCTCCTTTATAATGTACGGTTAAGGAGTCATATATCGGTGCAATTGACTCAGATTTCGGCTTGGGAGTCAGTTATGTAGTGGTCATAGTTGACTCTGAGTGACAGGAGATATAGTAGCCTTTGGTTAAATTAATAATAACAATATCAACACTTGTTTCTATCCTCAGGAAGAGGAATTACACACAAATATGGCAGTGGCGACTGAATAAATAGAGGCCAGCCCGATCATTTATATTCCAGAATGAGCAGTCATTTCGCACAATTATAGGCTCACAATCTAGTAGAATCAAATCTAGTAGAATTAGAAACTGCCAATTTAAACATGATCATCCTCGTCCCTACCCACAACAGTAAACACACTCGTCCGGGCATAGAGCACAACATCATCAGGATTACCGCAGCGGCAAATGATAAAGCAGATGGTGTACTGCCCAGATTCAATGATGGCCGGTATGGGGATATCCACCGACATGTCCGTGTTGGTCTGCACCCAGCAGCGTCCAATATCCCAGCGAATCCAACGCCTCGCGGCGCTGCCTTCCTCCCTGTCGAGGGTTATGGAACACTCTCGCACAACTGTGTCAGGAGTTCTGTAATGGAAGTCTACCGTGATGGCGGTATGGACGTTGACCGTGAGCGGGGGCTGTTGGATCCAGTGGAAATAAATAGGATGGAAACTGTCGTCGTCGTCGCTCATGTCGTCGTACTCGTACTCGTCATCGTCCTCTTCGACATCGTCATCGTCACTATCATCATCGTCTTCGCCGTTGCCAAAGAAGTCATTTCCATCGGCGTCACGAAAGGGAGGCGCTTTCAGGACTTCGTCGTGAATGAACAACACTGGGTACCGTTTGCCTATTGGCATGTCTGTAAGTGCAGATTCTGTCTTTACCTGATGAAAGGATCTGGTTAGACAATAGTTTCTTTTGAAGTTAAATTGCTGTCGAGCTATCAGTCTGTTAGTATACCCTAAATCAGTTCTCGTCAACGACAGACTGCTCAACGTACCTGGTGAATTTTATATAGACAAGGCGTGTCGTTCCGTTGTTACCTGTAAACCTCCACAGAGCGAAATGAAATGGAGAATTCCATGCTTGAGCTTTTCTTTTATACTTCATTCCGGGTTATATACATCGTGGATTGCAGTTAGATAAAATCTACGGGTTTTGGAGCCAGTTCACGGCGATGGGCGAAAGGACTCTAGTAATTGTCGATAATGAGAGGGAACGCCCGTCATTATTCTTTGGTTTTCATTGATGTACTGTACGTATGTGGGTCCTCTGGGAGTACAAAAAGAAATCGATTCTCGTCGAGAGCAAATCCACAGCAGTGCATCAACAATCGAAAACTGAAGGACTTCAAAAACATACTACTTACGAGTTTAGCTTCGTCGTCAGCACTGCTAGTCAATATACAGCATCCAATAGCACATCTAGGTAGACAGGTCGAATATACCGTTCATTGATCGATTTTCGAGTACAATATAAAAGAAACAGCAGACAAAGTGTTCGACACCTACGTGAAAGACAATAAACAAAACAAAGGATGCGGCCTACAAGGATCAATTTAGCCTCGATCTTGCTTTCTTTGCGCGGCACAAGCTCGTCTGACAGAAGTCGTATTAAGTTTTATTTTCTCTGATTCATTACCTTATTATTGTTTTAAGAGCGGAAGAGCCTCGAGAGCTGGGAGCTGAATTGAGCAATATGAATATGGATAATAGATTGCTAACCCGAAAAGATAATCTCACTCAAACACAGTCCAGGTCTCAAAAAAAAAGGGAGCTAGATAAATACTAGATAAATACTCACAACATACCATCTATAACCAGTAACTAAAAACCCGTAACCTAAATGAAAAGAGATTGCAAACCCAAGATGCCCGTACTCCAACACAAACAGATGCCACAGAACCAGATACTCATGCAAATTACACAGTCATGAGAAGTAAAGAAAGAAACTCTCCACCAGTACTCCTTCCATTCCCTTGTTCTTGCACGGAATATATCGCGATCAATGAACCCCACATTCCCAGTGCCTCTCTTCACAGTGAGACTCGTCTAGCAATACATTGTGCGCTGACTAACAGCCTCAGGCGCTTGAACAGTAATATTGACCGTATGCTCTCCTGCCTGGTCGATCGGCTCGGTTATCTTAAATTCAATGGGTTCTGACCCCAGAATCGTATGCGCATTGTAATACAGATCCTTCTGGCCTTGACTATCATCATCGGTGAGCCGTGAAATCATGCTCACGTTCACCTGTCTGTTTTGGGAAAAGAACTGGTTTCCATTTGCCTGAATTTCGAGCTTGACGGTAAAACGATCGCCTTGGACAACCGTGGTTGGTTTGTTTGTCCACTCAACAGAAGCAGTTGAGTTTGATGCACTGCTGGTTTGGTCGGTAGAAGACATGATAAAGTTCAAGGCAGTAGAGGATATGTAGCTGTTAAGGAGCTAAAGTAGGTAGTCTTTGAGGGTCAATTCTTGATATAGTCAAGACTCGAGTAGTTGTCTGTGATATTTATTGAAAAGGGAGAATTTATCGATCATGTAGTGCTACTCTCATAAACTGACTCTGACTCTATCTTATTCACTAACCTGTGACTCAATATCAACAAGGAAGTTTGTAGTGACTTATCCTAGATCTATCTTCAAGACTCATACCTTGTCACTCTGATATTCTTAACAGATTTGAGATATCAAATAGATTTAGATCTAACCATAGAAAATGTACTGTACTCATACCCACAAACCTCATATGCCAAAAAGAAAAAGGAACCAAACATATAAATGACTATCAATAACCAAAATAAAAATATAACCTGCAACCTAAATCAAGTCTGAATATTTAAATGAAAAAAAAAAAACGTCCAACCCTAACCAGTACTCCGAGGACTCCGACATCAAAAGCAACAAAAGGCTTCACCACCCATTCGCGCCATTCGCAGCAGGAGCCTCGCACACAGTAATAGTCTCGTAACGCCCAGACCCAATTTTCAACGAGTTGCCGGAGTTACCGATGGTAAGAACAAGTTCATACGTGCCCGGTCGATGGATCGGACCCGCTTCAAAACTCATAGTCCCTTGAATCTGACCGTTTTTTGCAGTACACTTGGATTCCTCGACCACTATGACGGCGACCCTGGCGGGGCACCGCAACAACCCTCATAGGCAGCAAGTTCCCACGACGAGGATTCGTGTTTTCAGTTACGCTAGCGTGGACGTTGAATGTGAAGGGCACGCCTTGGGTAACCTGTGACGGGACTTGGCCGAACGTGATGAAAGGGGCTTGTCTTGAAGAAGAAAAAGAAGATGGAGAAAAAGGGCTGCTTCTTTGGCCGTTGTTCGAGCTATATGAAACTATGCGGTTGTGAAGGGTGGCTGACTGTACTTCTTTCCGCTGAATGGAGGAAGTTTGTCTTGAAGAAGGAAGAGGAGGAGGAGGAGAGGAAGAGGAAGAAGAAGAAGTTCTGCGTCTCTGCCCGTGGGCGGCCATGATGAAGCACAAGGCCACGAAGGAGTTGAAGTTGTAAAGGTAGTTGTACAATGAAAATGCAGCTAGCTGATAGAAGAAATTGCTATCTTGGAGTTTTGATTTCAGTAGGAAGAATTTTTCTTTTCTAAGTATATAATGGCAGGAGAGAAGAGGGCTATATAGGTGTACAGGTGTATATATACTATCCAGATGACTCGACTCGACTCGATCTTTGATTTGACTAACTTTTGTATGACTCGATATCAACAGAGGTGGTAATAGTTTGCAGTGACTTACTTGACTTGGCAATATTACTCATATTACTTATATAATTGTGGAGGGAGAGGATGGGGTTGGATATGATCGATCGATCATATATACATACTGTACAGTATATATTCAAACTGTATACAGCCCAAAATGCAAAAGCCTACCCAGGTAGTTAGTTCTATAGCATGCCAGCCACATGAGGAAAAGGTTGCGAAGTGACCATATTTGTATCCTATTCTATTACTGCTGATTATAAGATACTACGTTCAATCAAGCGAAGTGCAAGCAGGTAGAGACGTAGTGATTTCACTACATACATACGTAGAATAAAACGTGCTGTGGTGAGAACCAGCAGGGTGTATGTACAGCACAATACCATGCCATGCTAGTACTCGATTGGTCTCGTAGCATTTATTTAGGGAAGTTTACTGTTTACCGGTTATTCACCTGGAGGTGCTGCGATATATTTAGCGTATGCAAAAATTGGTGCAGGTTTGGCACCTGAACCCGTCGAAAATTCTAACTCTTGTATACAGATTTTTTTTTGAATTTAAAACATGAATTATAAGCCTAATATTAGAATTTTCTAAAAAATAATAAAAAAAAGTAAGGCCTAGAGATAATACTATAAAGATATACATACTGCTTTTAAATTTAAAAAATAAGCAAATTTCAAGTTTATATATAGTAATTTGAAAACTAAAGCTTTTTATTTTTTTTTAAAAAAAGAGAGAAATATGTTTCTTTGTACTATTTTCTCTATGTATCTTGTTTTTATTTTTATTTTTATTTTTTATTTTTATTTTTTTATTTTTATTTTTTTTATTTATTTTTCTTATTTTTTTTTAGAAAACCGTAAAATTGGGCTCATAATTTATGTTTTTAATTCAAAAAAAAATATGCATACAAAAGTTACAATTTTTTGCGCGTTCGGGTGCCAAAACTGAACCAATTTTTGCATACGCTAAATGCCCAGTACCTACTACTTTTCTCGAAGAAAGAAATGAGATCGCCATTGATTAATAAATACTACTTCTTAATCACCAGAATCAATATCAATAGCTCTCTCCCGTGATGCTATATTCCTGTCCCAACAGAAAAAGAATCCTGCGTCCTGCATTCACATATCTCGCCAGGACTATCGTACGGTAATTTTAGTTGCTCTGTCTATCGATCTATCTTTATATGTATATACAGAGGTATCTCACAAAAGAATTCACAAACCAACCGAAACCACCAAGGACAGCTGAGTCTTCTCTACATACTATCCTCCCTCCATCGACTACGCGTCTTCCTCCACGCCTCGTGGTCTTCCTTACCCTCTTGCACATTCATCCCCACGCCCATCCCCCGCTCAACCCACTGCTTGCTGCCCATTTCCGACAGGCGCGAGAGCGCGCGCGCAAACGCGAACCGCTCCTCGTCGCCGCTGAAGATCGAGCTCGATTTGAGCGCCGCCATGCTCAGGCCGAGATCGTCCATCAGATTGCGCATTTCCGGTGGCAGGTCCATGTCCTCCTCGCCCTTGGAGGCGGAGGACTCGCTCAGAGAGGTCTTGATTTCCTCGTCGGACAAGAATAGGTTTTGCAGTGGGACGGCGGTTGTCAGGACGAGTTTGGCCTGGAAAAAGTCAGTCTCTCTCTCACGCACTCTCTTCTAGCACTCTCTTCTAATGGAATGGCATACCTTGCTCTCATACACCGCGTCGACAAACGTAATAAATCTCCTCGCCAGATCGCGCTGGTTCAGAGTCATGCCCGGCACGTCCGTCACAATGAAAGCGTCATAGTGCCTCACCAGTTCCAGGTAATCTGCCGCACTGGTCGCTCGGCCCAGGAGCTGCTGGAACGTGAATCTCGCGGCCTTGCCGCTGGCCAGAGGGACCTCGATCGTCCGTCCCCAGACCTCGTGCGTGGCCGGGTGCGGCGGGTCGTTGACAGGGTCCCCCAGATACTCAAACCACTTGTCGGCATGGTGGGCCGCTCCCAGGTCCAGCGGGTGATAATAGACGCCCGACGGAGGACGGGGGATCTTGCGGTAATCGGTGTCGGAGTTGAGGTTGAGCACCTCCAGCACGGTCTTCAGCAGGTTGATGCAGGGGATGAAGTGCTCGCGCTGGATGCCGTTCTTGTACAGGTCATCTGGATGTCGATTGGACGTTGTGACCACCACCACACCGTGAGACATCAAGGATTCAAGGAGTCTGGCTTGCAGTCAGCAACCACCCTACCAGCAGAAGGAGGAACAGCAACCTTCTCAGAATCATCGCATCGGCCACATCAGTGCACTGGAACTCATCGAAACAGAGCACGCTGGCGGACTGGGCAATGTCGGCCGCCACCAGCGGCAAGGCATCGAAGTGAGCTCCATGGCGGGTCTTGGCCGCATGCAACCGTCGATGCACATCTTGCATGAAATTGTGGAAGTGTATCCGCTTCTTGGACGGGATATTCGACGGAATGGTGTCGTAAAAGAGGTCCATCAACATGGTCTTCCCGCAGCCCACGTCTCCATACATGTACAGACCTTTCGGGAGGTTCGGAGGGATGGTGACCGACGGGGCGGGACGACTACTCCGGCCAAACAAGGAGCCGAAAAAGGAGGTCTTGGGCTGTTCTTGCAGGCTGTCGATAGGGGGATGGACGACTGGGGGAGGATTGTACGTTTTCAGCATGTCATGCAGGGTCTGGAGGTACTGGATGATGGCTGCAACATGTCCATTATTATTAGCCTGGAATATTTCCGGAAAGGAATTGCTCTAGGAGACATACTTCGCTGGTAGGGATCATCGCGGAGGAGCTCTGCCTGAACCCTTCGATCGTACTCTGCTATGGGACCGCTTGATGAAGCAGTCGTATCGCGCCCAGATTCTGCAGCCGTCGCAAGCAGCCTGGCGGGCTGCTGCAGCGGCGAGATGCGGGCCCCCGTGTGCGCGCCACGATGAATAGCTAAGGAATTATAGTACAACGGACTTCGCGAGCCGCACTTCACAGCATGACGATGTATTTGCCGTATGGAATCTCGCGGATATAGACTACAGGAGGCAGCGTGGATATGACCTCCCCTCCATGCCCCACGCGCACAAGCGACACATAACCTCGAGGAGTTCTGCTTCATTTTTATGTACACGAAGACATGCTATGTAGGAATCGCGATCAGGAAGGCGACAGAGAGGTGTAAAAGACAGCGGCGGAGCGAGCGGCGGACAATGAATCAATCAATCGGCAGTGCGGGACGGGATCGGAGACCGAGACGGAGGAGCGGAAGCACCGCGACGACGAAACCGGAGGAGTTGCCAGGTCGCTCGAGGGAAGGAAGCTGTGTCCTGTCCTGTCGTGTCCTGTATGTATGTACAATGCTGCAGCGGACACAGCTGAGAGTTTCCCAAAAAGAAAAGAGAAAGGGAGAGGTTGGCGCAGCGAAGTCTCAGACGAGTCGAAGTGAAGAGTGGAGGCAAACGCCGAGGTTGCCCGCCGCACGTGATCCCGCCTGCCCTGAACAACAATCTTCATATACTAGATCTAAAATATTCTATCATGAGATGTCGTATTAATTTTTCTAATTAAACTGAAATGCGTCTTGATTAAATAGAGTGCTACTAGAATTTGCTGAATATGCAACAATAAATCGATTTAAACGCATAGTTTCCTTTAAATGTACTGATTTAATACCTGCACTCAGCATATATCTTCGTCGAATACAGAATACTGCAGAAAAAAGACCTCCACAGGCAAAAATCATTCAGTCATTTACACACGCCTACAACCATACATACATACATTCAATACAGAACCATATCAGCAGCAAACACAGAATCAGCACTACCACCCATTCGGATGGATCAACACCTTAGTATACCCCTCGACCCTCTTGTCGAACTTCTCGTACGCCACGGGCGCCTCGTCGATGCCAATCTCGTGCGAGACGACAAACGACGGCTTGGCCTTGCCCGCGATGATCAGGTCGCGCAGGTACCGGTTGTAGGCTTTGACGTTGCATTGGCCGGTGCCGAGGGAGAGGCCCTACCCCAATCCCAGTCAGTGAGGGGGACACAGAATAGCAGGAATGGATTATATATATTGGTTCTTAGGCGTCTCACCTTCTCAAACAACTTCCCAAACGGGATCAATAGCTGTCCTTCCTTGCTCTGCGCATCCGGCGCCCCCGGGTCTGTCGGAACATACAGGCCTGGGATGCCCAACCCCCCCGTCGGCCGGGTCACCCGAATCAGCGAGTCGAGAGCCGTGTTGGGCTTTTCCTTACTGCCCGACGAGTCGACGGCCTGGTAGCCCACCGCGTCGACCGCGCGATCGACCATGCCGCCGTTCAGCTCGATGATCTGGTCGACGGGGTCCCGGACGGTGAAGTCGACGGCCGTGCAGCCGATCTTCCTCGCCGCCTCGAGACGCTCCGGCACGCGGTCGACGACGTAGACTCTGCTGGCGCCGCGCAGCACGGCCGAATACGCCGCCATGAGGCCGACGGGCCCTGCGCCGAAGACAGCCACGGTCTCACCGGGCTTGAACCCGGACAGCTCGAGCCCGTGCCACCCCGTGGGGAAGATATCGGCGAGGAGGGCGAAGTCGGCCTCATGGTCGCGGCCCGGCGGCAGCTTCAGGGCGTTGAAGTCAGCGTAGGGCACGCGCAAGTACTGCGCCTGGCCGCCTCGGTACGGGCCCATGGCGACATAGCCGTACGCGCCGCCAGCAAAGCCCGGGTTGACGCCGGTGCAGAAGGCGGTGCGGCCCTCTTCGCAGTTGCGGCAGCGGCCATCGGCGACGTTGAAGGGCAGCACGACGCGGTCGCCTTTCTGCAGCAGGGTGACGCCGGGGCCGGTCTCGACGACGATGCCCATGTTCTCGTGGCCGAAGATGAGGCCCGGTTCGGCGGCGGTGCGGCCTTGGTACATGTGCAGGTCGGAGCCGCAGATGCCTGTGCGGTCAGTGAAATTCTCCTTGGAATCTGCTTGTCGAACGTACACGCTGTGGTGACTTTGATGATCACGTCATCTGGGTGCTCGATCTGGGGCATGTCGACCTCCCTGACGGAGACCTTGAAGGGGCCGTCGTAGTGGACGGCTTTCATTTTGCCGTTGGACATGGCTGTCGACTGTCTGTAACTCGAGATAGCTCAGAGGATGTACTCCGTATGTGCTGATGTATGGATGTACCAGTAGACTGTGACCGGCAGACTGGTCCCCTCTGACGGCTGCCGGCATTAATATAGCCGCTAGGGTCTCCTTCCAGCATATGCAGTGACGTGAGATGATGTATGAAAATGCGGGGAACAGGGTTCTCGACGCATGCACGCTGCACGCCATGCAGGCCATTTTGCGGGGATTTGCGGGGAAGACAGCCAGGCAGGCCATAGAGATGTGCAATGACCCCTCATGGAGTAGCTGGATAGTATGCAATTGCATTGGTTATCCATCTCGATCAAGGCCTCCTCTGCACGTCCTGCATGCTGCAGCTGTGACGTACATATTCAATTATTACTCGGTTAAAAGATTTCGTTCATTTCCAGTCTCCCAACCAACCAGATGATCTTTCAACAAAATTAGTTAAGAACATTCTCTGAATTAAAACTTCTACTATATAAAAATTAGTCTAAGTCTTATGAAAGTAATTCCCTCCCCTCCATTCTCTCTATATATTCCATCCAGCAAGTCAAGAAAAAGGGCTCTACTCAATCACGACTTGCGCAAAACCAGCGCAATCCATCCAAACAGCCGGTACACCGCAATGATAGCGATCAGGATACCCACCCACTTCCCCGTGCGGCCTTCAGCGTAGCCATACTGCTCGAGGACGCCTGTGCCACGGATCTGGCACTGGGACGCCAGATCGGTCTGGTACATGAAGTGGCACGCCGAACCGCAGGAGAACACCCGGGGGAGAATTCGTTGACCATCATGCCTTGGAAGACGTATGCCTGTATATACATTACTTAGTCAGACTAAGTAAGTACTGGCAAAAAAAAGTGATGCGACAAACCTGATAGTCGATATAGTGAAAGACGTATTTCCAAAACGGATTCAGGATCGTCGGCGACACGAAAAATCCCCCCACGCACATCCACAGCCCGTTCGCAAAGGCGACGAGCGCGAGGGAGATGACGAAATTGGGAAAACGGACGAGACGAAGACGACGAACGATTCGGCCGCCACCAGGTCGAGGAATAGCCACATCACCCAGCTGAAAAACGCGGTGCCGCTGGAGCGGAAGTTGGAGAGCCAGTAGGCGACGATGGAGAAGAGGATGGAGATGAGGACTGCACATACATTAGTCAGAGTATCCTTAGAAATATGCTTGGAGACCTACAAAGATAAGGTAATCCGATCAGAAAATTGGACAGAATGAACGGAGTCGGTCCGTAAAGGCCATTCGCGCGCTCCTTGATGAACGTCGCCCGGTCTTCCAGGTACGCTGGGACGTAGGCGACGGCCATGAACGACATGAAGGCCGAGCCGAAGAACTGCCCAGTTAGCAGGGAACTGGTTTATTGAGTAAGGGCGTCATACAATAGCGTTGATGAAAGGTCGGATATATTCCTGCGAGGTGTGCAGCCGCAACCACACTGTGCCCATCAGGATGGCCAGTCCTGGAGACGTTAGACCTATCTTGCGTTATACTAGTGGAGGGTGTTATAGTAGTGAAGGTGAACTCACCAAGATACATGACGATCCGGATACCATAGGCAACGATATCACGGTTGCTTTTGATAAGCGACCGATGCAACAGGGACAGGATGACCCGACCAGGGTCTGGACGGGCAACGTCTGCCGACAGCTTTCTTTGAAAGATCTTTTGGCAGACCAGCCAGCCGAGCGTCCAGAGCACTAGCCTCACTAGAGGTCGACCAGCATCCCTGTATCTTCGCCAGCCTCTTACCTGCCGCCTCCTTGTAGCTGGCAAAGTCGGCGCTGACGACGTCGAGCATGAACTCGGCCGGGTTCGTATACTGCGGCATCGGATAGCCGATCCGGCCAAAGTAGTCGCTGACCTGCGTCGTCGGGCCAAAGTAGCAGGTCCGTCCGCTGGACAGAAGCAGTACCTTGTCGAACAGCTCGAAGGTCGTTGTCGATGGCTGGTGGATGCTGGCGATGACGATAAGCTGGGAGAGTCAGAAACCCCCTTCAACAAAAAAAAAATAACCTCCTTAAAGTCCATCTATCTTCCACTCACATTGTTCCTCTTCGCCAGCTTCTTTACATATGAGATCACTTCGAAACTGGCCTTCGAGTCCAGCCCGCTGGTGGGCTCGTCCAGGAAGAGGATCTTGGGGCAGGTGATGAGCTGGCTGGCAACGCTGAGACGGCGTTTCTGGCCTCCGCTGATTCCTTTCCGGATGGGCGTTCCAACCAGAGTGTTGGCCTGGCCGTGGATGCCAAAGGCGTCGAGAAGCATGCGGACGCGGTGTGCTCGTTCAGAGCTTGACACGGACCTGGTCGACACCTTAACTCGTATGCGACAATTCGTAAGGAATATACGGATGGATGGACTTACCTAGGCAACGACAGCTCAGCAGCAAACCGCATCGTTTCCTGCACGGTCAGAGACCCGATGAGGGCATCTTCCTGCTCGACATAGGAAGTGATGAGCTTGAACGACTCGTTATCGACGTGCATGCCATCGACGAGCGTGGCCCCGGAAACTCTGGCGTGCGAGGCGGGAATCCGGCGCGCGAGCACATTCAAGAGGGTCGTCTTTCCACAGCCAGACGGGCCCATGAGGGCCATTAGTTCTCCTGTTGCTGTAAGCCCTAGACGAGACGTCGACGTGCATGCAGTACATACCCCGCTCAACATGCCCGTTGATATCGCAGATGAGATCTCGCATCTTCTTGGTCTGGCCATCCTTGACCGTCACAATTAGCTCTTTCCAGGAGAAGCTGTGCACGGTGTCATTCTTCAGGAACGCCTGTTGCGCTTCGAGATCGACCAGGGAGATGTCGGACTGGGCGTCCATTTTGAACGAAAATCACCCGAGACTGTCCTTTTCTTTTTTTTTCTTGTACTTGTATTTGTAGTTGGTCTGGTCAAGCATCCTGAGTCTTCCTTTCCAATCCGATCAGCAGCAGCAGCGTCGTATAAATATACGAATTATTACTCCAGAACCACGAATAAACACATGTACCTGTATGTATGTATGTACCTACGTAAGAAATGTTCAAGGATTCCCAAAGCGTATATTCGTCGTCGGCGTTTCCCCACAGGTTCCCCGAGCAGAGTGAACGCCACTCCCCACATACATATAATCTTAGATTAAGGCTCTTTTTGCGGGGGTTATTAAAGATAGTCGAGACTATTAATTAGTTATTAAGCAGTTCGGCGATGTTGTGTTTATCTTCGACCTCTCCTTGCCATTTCGGTCGAGAATGTGATCCACAGATGTCAAATACGGACTCGGCCGATATGTCAGAAATGCGCGAGAGAGCATCTACGTTGTACTGGATGAATGGTATTGAAGGTGATGTCTGTGACGAGATTTTCTCATATTCACTTCTTTTTTTTAGGAAAAAAAAAGGCAAGGAAAAGAGGGAAAGAAAGAAAAAAAATGAAAAGAAATGAATGCAATGGAAAAAGATATCTCGAATCTCCAAGTTCTATCGATCAATCAATCAATCCGTCTAGATATAGAATGCACAGGAAGATTCATGATTCATGCCACTTTCTTTCTTCTTGATCAAATTAATTAGATAATCTATTCATGGCATCTGTGCGAGTACGACTGACTAAGGACTAGTTAACTGACTATTACCATCTCTTCAACACCACAATGCGTCTGCAGATTTTAGAAAATATAGATATAGATATATATATATCATTCTCGCAGGATACGTATTACTTGACCACCTCCTGATACATACCCAACACCTGCTGCCGCACCGTCCTAGCCAACGGCCAGCATTCCGCCAGCCGATTGAACGCTCCCGCAGCCAGCTGGATCCTGGCTTCGATAGACTCTGCATGCTCGGTGCCCGACGCCATCACACAAGCTGCCGTGTGCACGATCACGGCCATGGCCACCGCGCAGATCAGGAAGGGACTGTGTCGCTTGATCTCGGTTGGGAGGGCCACCAGGTTGGAGAGCTGATCGGCTGCGCGAATCAGCTTCTTCGACGACAGGTCCAGCGCGTCCAAGGTCAAGGGCGGTCGGGAGGCGCGGTAGCGTGTGCAGGATGTCAGGGTGTGGAAGGATGCGAAGCGCATGATGGACCGGGTGCGGTGGAGGTGGATTGTTCCTCTGTTGCAATCAGCTCCGAACTTATGTACATGTACATACATACATTGTTATGTCTAGGCTGCGTACATGTAGATAATATCTGACCCTGGAACAGCATCTCGTCGACACGCCCGTTGCTCAGCATCGGGTCGCGCTTCGAGGCAGGCAGGTGCAGGAACCATCCGGCAAGACAAGCATCGATCGTCTCGGCCTGGGGCTCACTGTCGACCTCGGTTGATTGACTGAGTCCCGGGACCATGCCCAGGATCCGCACCGCCTCGACACGATAAGCAAAGGACGAGAATCTCTTCCCGTTCGGGTGAAGAGACCAGTTTTGTCGGAAGTCCTCCAGTGTGTACTGCATAGGAGGGACCTAAGAAATCAGCAGCTGATCTTCACAACTAGTCAGTATTTTTTTTAAGTCCTACATTTCCCGCATGATATTCCTCCTCCTCGCAAGGCAAGCTCAGATCCGATGGTCGCCCGTACAGTGAAAATGTGCTCTGCTCGCGTAGACCAGCAAACAGGCCGTCGACAATGTACAGTTCCCAGTATGTCCGCCGCCAACTTTCCTCCCACAAGCTGCTGCCCATCGAGTTCTCCCGGGCAAAGGCTGCGCGGTCCATGCCCAGTTCGAGAGCCAGGTCTACCGCAGACCGCAGGATCTGATTCGCTTCGTCCTCGCGGCCATGGGCATGGGTGACGATGGCGAGGAGGAGCATGCTCTGGACTGTGAAGCCGTTCCGGGGGTCTGCTGTTCTGACAGGACGGCATATGCAGCGTCTTTCAACGCATCTCGGACAGACTCGTCGTAATGGTAGTGAGCGCCAATGTACTGCATGACCGCTAACAGATACGACGGAACATTGTGGAGAGCCTTCTGCGGCAGGACGATGGGATGGGCAAGGTGGAAGTTCTGGTAGTAGAGCTGGATCCAGAAGTCATCGAGTCCTTTGGCCACATTGTTTGCTGGGACTACCGCGCTGTCTGCCGTACCAGCCAGGGGGTTGATCAATCCGAAATCGAACAGCTCGTGTCCGGCACTGGCGATGCTGCTAGCATCTGGTGCGAAGCTTGCTGGTATCCCGAGATCAGCTGGCAACGAAACTGCGCTGTCCAGCCAGGCGGGAGAGAGGTCGTCGACGAGCATCCCATTCGACTCCTCGGACGGGGGGGTCTGGAAATCCTGCCGGCAACAATGCTGCAGCCAGCAGGATTCAGCGTCTTCCGCAATCCCCGTCTGGAGCGGACGTATTGGCAGACCTCGCCCGAGGCCTGGCAGCGACCACAGACAGGCACGAGAGCGTCAGGCGCCGACAGGCGGTGCATGCCAACAGGGACGGTTGGCGCCGGGATCTTTCCATTAGACATTCTGCAGTATAGCAAACAAGAGCAAAAGAGGAGTGGCCGTCCTACATGCAATGCTACAGTACAGTAAGTAATACTGAAGCCGAATTTACTACCTCTTTCGGTAGACGATATCCATCACGTGCCTAGTCCCCGAGGTCGCCGACAGAGCCGACTCGACTGAATGGAAATCTGACAGATATCATCCAGAAGTCCAGTCTTGAACCAGTCTTGATATCATTGATGCATTTATTGTAGATTCCCGATGGAACGTTGTCCTGCCCCACAGTGTTCCCGAGTGGCGAGTGCCAGACGCCGACATACGGATATAGTATGTACAGTACAGTACAATATAGATCATAGCCTATTCGAAGGATATGGTCTTAAAAAAAAAACTAAAAATTGATGGTCTAATATATAATTAAAGGATTTCAATTACTGAGAGTTCATTCACCTCAGTCGTATAAACTAGTGTAACTGGGTGTAACTGGTCGTAGACCGATGCATACATAAAATATATATAGAACTAATTTCAATTAAGTATTCTTACTTCTCCCAAAACGATAATATAATTCTACCGAACCAGAAGAGGTGGAACAGTAGACACTTGTTTCTTATCCCCGTCCACGGAAAACATGCTCGTAAGCGTCGTTATTTGTTGAATATTAATTATCTCCGTCTTGTCTTGTTATCAATAAATAAAAAATGAATGAATAATCATTGTGTATGGACGTAGATGATATGCCCTCTTCGTTTATTTATTTTTTTTTAAAAAATTTCAGTTTCACTATACACATAACCCTCTCAACTCCTCCTCTTGCGAACATCCCCATCGCATCGCATCCCATCTCCTCTTAACACCAGACTACCCCAACCAGCCAGCCAGACCAACCAGACCAACCAGACAGTCCATCAGCTAAATCAGCGATGTAATTAATCCGCCTTCTCCGCTTTAGGAGGATATTTCTTCCCGTCCCGCTCGACCTGCGGCGTGCAGGTGCAGCGCTCGCTCTCCGGAACGGGGTCCAGCACGGCAGGGATGTGGTTGCCGCAGCCCCACCAGGTGATTTTTTCTAGAAAGCAGTCGTCAGTAGGCAAGCAGGAAAGCTGTTAGGTAGGAAGGCTGTTAAGGAAGATGGGTGAGGGATGGATGGATAGATAGATGTACAGTACGTACGGCATTTCGAGCAATGAGCCTTCAGACACATGTTGAGTGAGTATGGCTTCTGGCTTCTTTCGGTAATGCAATAGATTAATTAATTAATTAATTGATTGATTGATTGAGGGAGTGAGTGATGGAGGAGATGGATATCCGACAGTCGATAGTCGAGGGCAGACAGAACTTGCGGGGAAACAAAGTTGGCACTATATATATCTATATATTCCAGGATCTATTTATATACCTATAAATATATCCACATTCACGTGCTGCACTGTATGTAGAGTACATTATTATCTAATAATAATTGCATTTCGTCACATTTCCTTCTTTCCATGGATCCCGGGCCCCGCGTTTAAAGCCCGAGCGAGATACCGAAGTAGGTAATAGTCGGCGACTTACCTAAGTACATACATTTATGGACAGACAGTAGGTATCTATGTACATAGGGAGATTACCAACATTTCCTGCACTCTGTATATACTCCGGAGTATAAGCTGATGGACATAAACCTCCAGGGCACCCAAATTCAACCCCGACCGAACACGGCACAGACTGACAACCAAGCCTGTTGCAGACCTGGCCACAATTCTGGCCAGCACATTGTGAAAGAGAGGGCTGGCTTAAAAAGTAAGCCAACACCAAAAAAAAAAAGAAGAAGTTAGGTAGGTAGTTTACAATCTACTGGATTCTGGGCCATAATTCAAAGGCATGCTATGCTAGGAAACAAACCAGCCAGCCAACCAACCACATACATAGTAGTGAGGTTAACCAGCTGGCACAAGACAAGCTCTTTCTTTACCTCTTACTAGCAAAAATACTGGTCTTTACAGAACACTAGACATGACTAGGAGAAAAAAATATGGGCAACCTTATGTTCTTATTGCTAACTAGTAATAAATAATACCTTATTAAGGTGCTCAAAAAGGCCTTAACAGGTAATAAGCTTCGTCCTCATATATATAAATATAAATACAGACACGTAAAACATTGGCACTTAATAGATACCATTCTCCGTGACCAAAAAAAAAAAACTTGATTTAATAAGAATACCTCAAAGAATCCTCCATCTACTATGTATGTACAGTACATACAATACATACACAAGATAGATTATCCATATATATGACTGACCCATGTCATGGATTATCTATGTGACCTGGTGATGGATTGATCATTTATTGATCATTTATACAGTCCATTAAAAAAAAAGGTAACTACTGTCAACAGTACAATGTCATACTGTACTACAACACTGACCCAATCAATAATGATAATGATATAGAGTTGTACAAGTTGTACATACATGTACTATGAGTCTATGACAACAGCAGCAGAGCTAACTAGTTAGTCCTGCCTAATGTGATGTAATGTGATGTGATTTGATTGTATTGTGACCAGCCAGCACCAGCACCAGCACTAATTACTGCAGCTATTAACTAGCCCTATTAGGCCCATTAGGCCCATTAATTAGCTAATGGCCAACAGATCAGTACTGAGTATGAATTTATCAATTAATTAATTAATCAATCAATCAACTCTGTCTGCTCTGCATATATATGTACCCTGTGTAACCAGGATTGGAGATCACTGTACTGCTACAGTACATTACTGCTACAGTATTACTGCCACTGTTACTGCTATTGCTATTAATAGGTATGTACAGTACAGTACAGTACAGTACATACATACATACATAAACTACATGTGTGTTGTGTACCTACTACTATATGTGCAGTACATGTACAACAGTACATACTATTCCTACATATATACAGAGTATACGGAGTAAATTATTTATTGCTGTGCTACTGCTACTGCTACTCATTCATTTATACAATCTACAAGAAAATTCCGTCGAGTCAGATAAATTTGGCAATTTGGACAAAAAAAAAAAACAAAAAAATTGTCAAGTTCTCAAAAATGCTCAGACACATGGTGTGACGATTCAACTTGCCTGTCGTCACGTGAGCGGTGAGAAAAGCGGTGAGGTATAGGTACGGCAGAATACTTGCATAAATCGCCTCGCTAGCGACCTGGCTCCCTTCCTTCTTCTCCTCTCCTCCCAGCCTAGTCTCTTGTAATTTAGATCGCTCCTAGTGATAAGAAACTGCTCTATTGCCTGGAATTGGATCCGTCACATTAGACTAGGCTCAACCCACTCATTTCTTACCATTTCTACTGCTTCTAGATACGGTCTGACGCGTCTACTACAACAGTCGACGCAGACCTCTTGAAGCTGCCAACTGCGTGCCAGCGACGTGGTGATCAACTGCTGGAAGATACTGAAGATACTAACGATACCGACGTGAAAGCTGCGATAATGCTGAATTGAAGACATCCGAGAATCAGGAATTGAGACGAGACGAGACCGAAGAGTCAACGCAGAGACCAAGCAACCAAGACCCGAAGAACCAGGGAACGAATAGAACAAACCCAACTGCAATAACAGATCTGTGCTACGGACACAGAAGCTGAGAGGAGGGTATTAATATGGCGAGACCATCGAGTGAACAGAAGCCTCCTAGACGAATGACACTCCTACTGGAGGGGAGACCTGGAGAACCACGAGAGATAGACCGAGAAGAATTTATTACCTACTGTCGTGATGACCCTGAACGCCTCTGGCAACTGATGTTGGAAATAAGTGACGAACTGAGGGACAAAATTGAAGATCTTGAGGTTGAAGCCGCTGGTGCGCTGCTTAAGATTCAGGAAAACGAAGGAATTGCAGCCCTTGCCAACCAAGAATTGAAGAAGAAAGAGGACGAGCTTAAACAGACGACCATCCAGCGAGATCAGTATGCCAACCAGATTGCACAAATGATGGTTCGAAGCAACGACCTGGGTACCCTGGCAGTAGGCCCTGCCACCCGTAAGTCTATCAAGCTTCCAGACCCACCCCTGTTGTCCGATGGAAAGAACCCTAAATTCGACGATTGGCTCGTACTCATGCAGCAGAAGCTGAGCGCGAATGCGGACCACTATGATACCCCTGAATTGAGACGCGCCTACGTTGCCAGCCGATGCGAGGGTGATGCGGCAAAACACATCACTAAACGCCTGAAGAATGGTGCCATAAATGCTTACAAGGACTCGACCGACCTGCTGGAGCACCTTGAGCAAATCTACCACGATCCGAACCGCCTCGCAAGTGCAAAGCTCAAATTCCGTGGATTATTCATGAAGAATAAGGACAAATTCCACGACTTCTTGTCCGAATTCATTTATTGGGCAGATGAGGCTGAGATTGACGAGAAGGACTGGAGGGAGGAGCTATACCAGAAGATTACAACTGACCTCCAGAAGCTGACTATGAGTGAGGCCATCCGCACCAATGGAACTTTTCAGGAGTTCATAAACTACTGTTCTCAAACCGCGAATCGGCTGGAGGTTATCAATAACCGTTCGCAACATAATCGTGTCTTTAGGAACTGGGCCTCTTCAAATCAGAATCAGAACTCGCCAGTACCTACTAATACTGTGAAGAGGGAAAGCAAAGAGGCAGATCGCTTGGGGGTAGACTCAGAGACTCGTCAACGTCTAATGCAGGAAGGGAAGTGTTTCAAGTGTCAGCAGTTTGGCCATCTCGCCCGTGAATGCCCTAAGCAGATGCCTACCACTCAGCTCAAGGCATTGGAGAAGGCCAATAGTAAAGAAAACAAGTCAACTAGCACCACAGAATCGGAAAACGACAGTGCCTAGGAGAAGTCTCCATCCTAGGCGGATACCAGGTCCCCCTATGTCAACTGAACCTGCAGGAACTATTGGGAAGGGAAAATGAGAGTTTTACCATACCCACCCGATTAGTTGTCAATGGATACACATTTGCAGTGAGAACATTAGAGACACAGGAGCAAACGGATTCATATTTATCGACACAAACCTAGCAACCCTCATCGCGAAGACCTTTGGCCTACATACAGTCCCATTAGGACGGGAATACGCAGTACAAGGATACGATGGCAAGTCAGAAGCTCCCGTCACACATGCCATCTTCATGACACTGGAGGTCGACGGCAGAAGACAGAATAATCTACCGATGCTGATAGTAAACTTGGGAAGGCACGATATAATACTTGGAAGGAAGTGGTTTGCCCAATTTGGAGTCCTGCCAGACTGCAAGAACCAACGCCTTCTTTGGCCCTCAGAGCGGGCTGCCTTTGACGAAGTGGCCGCTCAGACAACTCGACCTTTACCCCGCAAGATATTGAAGCGAGCAGACACAATACAGATGAATTACCAAAAGGACGCAGACCGCAGGGATCGACTAATGGAGCAAGAGGACCAGGAAGATCAAAAAAAGGGACCTAACAAGGTCACTACAGGAGATAGGAAACCGATAAGCCCAGCAGCGCCTAGACATCAACCACGAGAGCTTTTCCAGCCGACAGATCCAATTCCCCTGGAACCAGAGAAGAAGATTGAAAGTTCACAAGACCTCCCAAAGATTGACATCGCAGCAATAGGAGGCTCGGCCTTTACGCGATATATGAAGGGAAATAGTGCCGAGGTGTTTGTCACTAGCCTCTATGAGATTGATAAGATGATACAGCATAAGAAGCCATTATGTGACATCACTGAAGAAGCAGACCTTCGAAAGTTGGTTCCATCATACTACCATGACTACCTCGACGTCTTCTCAAAGAGGGCTTCAGACACCTTGCCACCATCACGTCCATGTGACCATAAGATCGAGTTGACAATGGAGAATACGCTTGGCTATAGCCCTCTGTATAAGCAGTCGGCAGAAGAATTAGAAGCCACAAAGAAATACATCATGGAGAATCTAGACAAGGGATTCATCGAACCAAGCAATGCACCATTTGCCTCTCCAATCCTGATGGCACGAAAGAAGGATGGAGGACTCCGATTCTGCGTTGATTACAGAAAGCTAAATGCAATCACTAAGAGGGACAGATATCCATTGCCGTTAATTGATGAATTGATGGAACGCCTCATCAGCAAAGTCTTTACAAGCTCGTATCCGACAGGGCTTCCCCGTATCCGGATGCTCCAGACTCCGAGGACTTGACTACCTTCCGAACACGATATGGATCCTATAAGTACAAGGTGATGCCATTTGGGCTGACTAATGGACCGGCCACGTTTCAACGATTCATCAATGAGACCTTTCTAGACTATCTGGACGATTTCCTTACCGCTTTTATTGATGATCTGTTGATCTATAGCAGCAATGAGCTTGAGCACCAGGAGCACGTCAAGAAGGTATTGCAACGTCTGCGAGAGGCTGGACTCCAAGCCAGCATTGGGAAATGCGAATTTCACGTCCAAAGGACTAAATACTTGGGCTTTGTCGTTGGCACTAATGGTATTGAAGTCGACCCTGACAAGGTGGCAGTAATTGCGCAATGGAAGCGACCAACTACAGTAAAGGGCGTGCAGTCCTTTCTAGGATCTGCAATTTCTACAGGCGGTCATACGGAATTATAGCCGGATGCACGACCCCTGAACCACCTTACCCGTCAGGACGTCCCTTCCATGGACTCAGGATCATGAAAAGGCTTTCCAAGCATTAAAGGAGGCATTGACCTCTGCTCCAGTATTAATACACTATCAGCCTACTCTCCCAACCCGGATCGAGACCGACGCGTCAGATGGGGTCCTAGGAGGAGTCCTCT